ATGACCCTGGGCAAGTCACTTAACCCTGTTTACCTCAGTTTCCTCATCTGTAAAATGTGCTGTATAAGAAAATGGCAAAGCACTCCAGTATCTTTGCCAAGAAAATCCCAAATGGGGTCATGAAGAGTCAGACACGACTGAACAGCAATGGTGAACAAGAACAACAACAAAACAGGATAAAAGACACCCGCCCAAAGAACTTGATGTGGATGCAAAAGGAACTCTGACAAATTCAGGTTTTAAAAAGGCACGTGTAGAAGATGGAAATAAAGGTAAGCAAGTGTAGACGAATACAAGAGTAGTGCTGTCCTGTAAGAATTGCCAATAAACGCTAAATCCCAGAAGGATTTGAGCTTGCCAGCGAAAGCTAAAGATAATGAAAAAAACTTTTTTTTAAGCTAAAAAGGAAGCAAGAACAATACTGAAGAAAGGACAGAACTGTTTGCAATGCATGCCAAGTACTAAAATTTTATTTTCTATTTGTTTTCTCTTCCACGGAGAACAATCTGTGGACTGAGGAAGAACAGAAAATGGCTGCCAAGGAGTGGAAACCACAGACAACTGAAAAAACTGCTGGGTACCTCGAACTGGTTTCAAAGAGTTCAAACTGGTATGCCCAAATGAACTAGGCAAGGACAATCCTTCAGATTTCTTTCGTGGGCACATCAGTAAATACTTGTGGCTTCACTAGGCACATGCGCATCTCCCTCTTTAGGACCCAATTCTCCTCATTTAGAAGGGACGTTTCCCTCCCCTCATTTCCAGGTCTCATTTCAGTTAAGTCTCTTCTCTCAGCTCTCAACTGATCCATAGTTAAATTGTTAGCTGCTCTTGGTACTCCCACCCCGCATCTCCTCTTAGAATCACACAGAATGTTAGATCTGGAAGAACTTTAGACACCAGCTAGTTTTGGTGGCAGTCAGAGGTAGAATCTAGATCTCTAGACCACTAATCTAGCATTTTCCATGCTAATGATTGAAATACATAGAATCACAGAAGATTCATACATAGAATACATAGAATGAGCTCAGAAGTTATATAGTTCAACCCACACCCAAACAAGAATCCTTTCTACATTCTATCTTGCAATTGGTCAACCAGCCTTTGCTTAAACACTTCTAGTGAAGGGGAATAAGCTGCCTCCTAAAGCAATACAGTCTCATAGTATTGAGAAAATGCTCAAGTTTTCCTAACATCTTACCCCAAATCATTTATCTGCAGTTTCTACCTGTTGTTCATGGTTCTGGACTCTAGCATTACGCAAAACATGTCTGATTCCACTTCCATGTTACAGCCCTTCAAATACTTGAATTTAGTCATGTTCTCCCAAGTTTTCATGTTGTTCAGTTGTTTTTCAGTCAAATCCTACTCTTTGTGACCTTATTTGGGGTTTTCTTGGCAAAGGCACTGGAATGGTTTGTCATTGTCTTCTCCAGCTCATTTTACAGATGAGGAACTGTGGCAAATAGGGTTAAGTGACTGGCCCAGGGTCACATAACTAGTAAGGGTCTAAGGTTGGATTTGAACTCAAGTCCTCCTGATGCCAGGCCTGCTTGTATATCCACTGTACCACCTAGCTTCCCTAAGTTTATTCTTCTTCTGGTTAAACAATCACCTGTGAAATTGAATTTCCTAAGGTTTAGCTTTGACCATGTCACCCTCCTATTCCATAAACCCCACTGGCTGCCTATTACTTCCAATATGAAATATAAAACCCTACATTTGTCTCTTAAAGTTCTTCCTAACCTGAAGTTTCCTACTTTCACAGTCTTCATACGCCTTACTAACCTTCCACCTATTCACCATGCAGTGACACTGGGCTCCTTGCTGTTCCTTGAACATATCATTCTATCTTCTAACTCCCAATGTTTTCCTGGTTGATACCTACAGTGTTCTCTCTCCTCATCTCCACCTTCTAGGTTCCCTGGCTTCTTTTGAGTCTCACCCAAAGTCCCATCTTCTGGAAGAAGCCTCTCAGTCTTTCTTAATCTTAGTGTCTTCCCTCCGAGGCTGTATACATGTTTGTACTCAGTTGCATGCTGTCTCTCCCTTTAGACTGTGAGCACCTTGAGAGGAGGGACTGATTTTTTTGCCTTTCTTTGTGTCCTCAGTACTTAGCGTGGAGACTGGCACACAATAGGTGCTTAATAAATACTTCTTGGCTTGGCTCATAGTTGAACTCACAGTTCCTTCAACCCATGAGGTCTGAGCAGTGCACAGTCCAGTGGGATTATTACCTTTCTAGCTTTGGACACTATGTTTATTTTGATGAAACCTAAGATTACATTAGCTTTTTTAGTGGCCATATCATACTGTTAACTCATAATGAGGTCTACTAAGCCACCCCTTAAATATTTTTTTCAGAGAAACTGTTGTCTAACCATGCCACCCTCATCTTATTATTTATTAAGTGAACTTTTGAATCCAAGTACAAGACTTTAAATTTATCCATATTAAATTTCACCTTATTAGATTTAGTCCAACATTTTAGCCTGCTGAGATCTTTAGGGATCTTGATTCTATTATCCAATGTGATAGCTATCTTCCCAGCTTCATGTCATCCCCAAGCTGGATTTGCAAGCTATTTATGTTTTTATCTGAGGTATTGATAAAAAACAAAACAAAACATTAAAAGGTATAAAACCAAGAACTAATCACTAGAACACTCCACTAGAGACATCCTTCCAAAATGGCATTGATCTATTAATGACTCTCCTGACTATTCAACTGCTTCCAAATACATCTATCTGTACTATCGTGAGCCAATCACTCTCCATCTTTTCTAGTATACTAGATATGACTCTGTAAAATATTAAGGGACTCTACATTTGAATAGGGGGTTCCTGAAGACCAAAAAGTCCTCAGGTTCAAAAGAATACATATAGTTAGGCAGAATTATAGGTCACAATGCCATTAGAAGTAGGTAAGATATTTGAGGGTATGGTCAGCACTCATAAGATCATAAGCAGGAGCTTACAAACTTCACAGAACAAATTTCCTTAATAAAAGGATTTGTTCTGTAAAACTTGGACTCAGTCAAAAGGCCACAGCCGAGGACCTAGAAGGCCACAGCGTCCCCACACCTGACCGGGATATATGCAATTGCCCTTCAATGCCATTTAGTAACTTAGTACAGAGGAATGTTTCTGTCCCCAAATTATATTTCATTGATTCTTCCCATTTCACTAGAAAATCTCTATAATGAAATCAGTATTACATGGCCTAACTCCTGTAAACCACTAACTTCTTCCTCCAATGCCACACCAACGTGGTGGTAACTCTGGGTTCCTAAAGACTGTGCCAGTATTCACTGGCAAGCTGTTAAAAATCCTACCAAGCTAGAAAACTCTTAAGTAAAGGGTATCCAAAGGACTTGGCCAGGTCAGGTCTGAAAGGTTCATTACCAGAAAAGTAGCCACCTAGTGAAGATTTTTAATTTTTTTTAGTTATATCAATCTTTTAAGGCATAGAAGGTTTTGAGCTGAATCAGTGTTGGGTACCAAGGAAATCATAAATCATTTGACATGCTGACCTAACTTTTGTAAATAATCATTACAGTAACTAGCCAGGCCATGGTGATACACACACACATACACACACACACACACACGTATGTATGTATGTATGTATGTATATACACACTTCCCCCACTCCTTTTTGACATTTGAGTCTCTTTGTCCTTAACAGTGCTTTGTTTCTTGATATGATTTCTTCCTCTTATTGTCAAAAGAAAAAAAGGGCTTTAATGAAGCAATCCTGGCATTTTTATGACAAAACTCACCCTCCTTCAAGGGTCACGCACAAAGTTACCTCAGTTCAGTTATATGATTGTTCTGCATAAATGACATTTTCTCCTTCCTTTTGTTCAATATTCCCCCCCTCCAAAGCATAAGGCTTGTCCCTTTCCTTGCCAAAAAAAAAAAAAAAAGCCAAAAACAAAACAAAATACAAAAATCCCCCTCACTGTGCTGCAATAACACACTCTACTACTTTGAGCCTAGCATTCCTGCTGAGTGCTAAGAAGAGGGAATGTGAGGAGGGGCAGACAGACACAGACCAAGACCAACAGAAACAGCTACAGAGAGAAAGAGACACAGAGAGAGAGAGAGACAGAGACAGAGAGAGACAGAGAGACAAAGAGAGACAGACACAGAGAGAGACAGAGAGAGACACAGAGACAGAGAGAGATAGACAGAGACAGAAAGACAGAGAGAGACAGGGACAGAGAGAGACAAAACAGAGAGACAGAGACAAAGAGAGACAGAGACAGAGAGACAGATAGAGACAGAGACAGACACAGAGACAGAGACACACAGACACAGAGACATAGAGAGACAGACAGAGACAGACAGACAGACAGACACACACACACACACACACACACACACACACACACAGCCAGAGACAGAATGCATGTTGTTTCACCCCATTAGACTAGACTGAAGGCTTCTTGAGAGCAGGGATTGATTATTTTTACCTTTCTTTGTATCCCTTGAGTTTAGAGTGCCTCACACACAGTAAATGTTTAATTAAATGCTTGCTGACTTGACAGAGAAGAGATAGGGACAGAGAAACAAAGATTTTGGCAGGGAGACAGGGAAGTAATGACACAGACACACATCCCAAACAGAAAAACATACTAAAAACTGGGCTCATGGCACACAGCTGGGAGAGGCAGGAAGACACTTCTAGGAGACAAACAGGGTAAGGGCACGGACTCATTGCCAAACACCCCCTCTCTCCCGAGGGGGAAGGACCAGGAGCAGGCCGTGGCTGAGACGCTGCTGCGGCGTGAGGCTCCGCGGCAGGGAAGGAGCCTCCCAACTTAGCCGGCCCTGCTGGCCAGGACAGCAGCCCTGCCCCATCGCCGCGCACGCTGAGCTCTAGCCCCATCCAAGCTTGCAGCATCGGACCAAGGTGGGCAGCCAGGGGGCCGAGGCAGGGAGGGGGCAGGCCAGACGCGGGCAGGAGCGCGGGCGAGCGGGCTGTGCCGCTGTTACCTGAGGCCGCCGTGTCTCCCCAGAAAGCGGAGGCGCAGCCGAGCCGCACCGTGCGCGTCCCTTCGCATCCTTCTCCTCTCCCGGGACCGCCCCCGAGGGTCCCGACCTTCGTCCCCAGCAGACGGGTCGCAGCGCAGCCGGCGGCAGGCGCCCGCAGGTTCCGGAGCCGGAGCCCGAGCCCGAACCCGAACCCGAGCCCGATCCGGAGCCAGGCAGCCGGGACTGGCCCCCGCAGCGGCAGCAGCAGCAGCGTCCGGGGGCTGCTCATGGCAGCACGGCCTTGAGGCTCTCTCCAGGCGCTTCTTTGTGCCGGGTCCCGAGATCCTGGAGGGCAACAGTCACCACCGAGTTAGAGGAGGCGGGGAAGCTCAGAACCCAACAAACTGGCCCCTAAACTCCTTCCCTCTTCCTCCTTTTCTGGGCTGGGTGGGGAGCGCCTCCAAACTGTTGCCCTCACCACCCCCTGCAGGCCGACCCGGAACTGCACCGCTCGCCTCTGCCCAACAATGCATGCCTCCGCGATCCCTCCATCTGGTCATCTTGTCATGTGCCCTGCGCCCTAGTCCCGGGCATCAGAGGGTTGAGAGTTGGGAAAGGCCGAGGGGAAACAGTCTTTTCGTCCAATTGTTTGCGCAACTCGTTGAGTACCGTCTGCAGATTCGTCTCTCTCTAGCCCCTCTTCACTGTTCTCTGTAGCTGTTTCCTCTCCACCTCTCAAAGTTTAACATCTATTAGGAGTAGTTGCACTTTAATATTTTAAAAAGATTCTGGAAGACAAGCCTTCATGACCCAGATAATAGTAGCTGATAGAGTGTCTGATAATGGGAAGAGGAAACAGGACAGGGGAGGCTTGTTCGTTAGGTTGTCCTTGATTATGTGATCCATTTTTCTGATATAGGTACCTTCCAATGTATAAAGAGGGCAAGGTTCAAGGTCTGAAATCTATCGTTTCTTTTTCTGGAAACAGTTCTCTCTCCTCCCTCTGCCTCTGCCTCTCCCTCTCACTGTGTCTGTCTTTCTTCCCGTCACATACTACTCTTTTTCTCTCTCCTAAGCAGTTATTTGGTACTTCTGCAGATACTGGCCCAGACCTCTTAGCCACCCCTCCTCCATCGACAATATGATGGTAATCTAAGAAGGAAAGACGCTTGGGGCATCACGGTATCTGAGCCCAATACCAGAATGAAGGGTCTTGGCATTTTGGCATCACAGGATTTAGAATTGAGGTAGAACTTAGAGGGCATATAATTCTACTCCCCCATTTTACAAGTGAGAAAACTGAGACCCAACTAGTCTATGGTCATGCAGAAGTCAAGAAGCAAATACTCTGGAGCAAAGAAATGAATGAAAGAGCATTTATTAAGTGTCTATGCTCCATACTAAACACTACAAAAATTAAAACTAGAAGAAAAATATAGCTTGAATTCCAGTTTTTTTGGGGAATATAAAACTTCATTTTCCGCAAGACACAATCTTTTCTCCTCCCACCTTCTTCCCTCCCTTCTCCCGAAGTGTTGCTCAAGTATTAGTGCCAGACATATGGGATGTACCACCTGTATGTCACTGTTTTATTATAATGCTTTTATACTGATGAATTTCTGACTGATCAATATGGGTGCTCTCCCCAGAAGTACAAACTGCAACCAAGCTACGCCTTCTCCTCCTACATAAATCATATACTGTAAATATTCACAAGGGGCTGTAGTAGACTAGGGGACTTCCTCTGGATCCTTTGACATCATATTGATTAAAAATGAAGCAGACCTCTGATTTTCCCTCGCTATATTGTTACTTACAAAATATCAAAAGATATTGGTCTAAACAACCTTTTCCAATCATACATCTCTTCGAAAATATCTTTAATGCACTTTTCCTGTGCAATTCTTTTGCTGGTTATATGTTACAAAAAAGGCAGTGTTGTCTAGTGGGTAGAGAATTGACCTTAAACTAAGGAAGACTAGGTTTCATGACCTACTTCTGACACATATTTTGTGACTCTTTGACTGTGGCTGACCTGGTAAAGGAAATAAAGGAAACTTTTACACTAGGAGACATCCACATTGATGAAAGTAAAGGTTTGGAACAAATGTTATTCGTACACATGTTATATCTGTATGTATATAGAAGATAAGATCTTTGAAAGTAGGGCTTGTTTCATTCTTTGAATTTGTTTCCTGAGCTCCTAGAACGGTGCCGGACACAGAATAGGCACTTCACAAATGCTTGTTGATTAAGTGATTGCATATGAAAGTGTGTGTGTGTGTGTGTGTATGCATGTGTGTACATCTACTGTGTACTTCTACTGTGAGATTCTACCATGCATCGTTCCCTCGTATACATACATGAATACAAATATACGTGCATAGGTCTGAGTGTGTGTGTGTGTGTGTGTGTGTGTGTGTGTGTATTTTCATGGACTGATTCATAGTTTCATGGTTCATAGTCATGCAGCAACATGAAGATTGAAATACCAAAAGATTGATCTTTTAGGTAGAAGCTGGGGGACCACTAAGTATACTGTGATGTTTCCTGAAGACAATCCAGATGCTTCTTGTCCCCCTGTGTATAACATAATCTGGACAATAGGTAGTTTCTTGTTTTTTTGTTTATTTGTTTTGTTTTAGGGGTAGTTGGGTTAAACTTGATTGAGTGATTATCAGTCTCACTTAGGAGGCCTTACAATGTTGTAGGGCTTGGTGTAAGCAGGATAATGTAATCCATAAACTGGAACATTTGGAGGATCTCATAGTTCCAAAGGGATTTCCTCTTTCATTTGGACTTGGTGCTGACCATATTCCTTGACAACATAAATGCCTTTGGCAAGCATTGACAAGAATAGTCAGAGGATTGTTGAACAAAATTATCTCTGGTGTCATGTCTTTCAGAATTTTGTGTCATTTTGGCATACCAATAGGAGACACTTTGTCATAGGAGGACCTTTAGGGTGGCTTCTTTTTTTTTTTTTTTTTTTTTGCTTTTTGGTGAGGCAGAGTTAAGTGACTTGCTTAGGGTCACACAGCTAGTAAGTGTCATGTGTCTGAGACTGGATTTGAACTCAGGCCCTACTGTCTCCAAGGTCAGAGCTCTATCCACTTCGCCCCCAAGGTGGGTTTGTGCTACCAAATCAAATGTATTTTAATGGTCACTAAAAAAGCACAATGGGGTTTTATGTTCTCTGCACCTTTCAGTGACTGTAAAAATGCCTATAGAATATTGTTTGTGAGACCTTGACTTTGTTGAGATTAATGAACATCAAGGATGAATGACCTAGAATAAGTGAGTAAATTATTCTCAGGAAGATTTTGTTGGAAAATAGGAATATGAGTCCATATTTTCTTTGTCAGTTTAGGGAGTGCATGGGAATTATTTTTTCAAAGAGATTGGCATCCTTCCCTCTTTCAGATAGCTAAAGAAATGATCCCTTAGCCTACTTACAATTATTTTGGCTCTAGCAAGGACCTATTTTGATTGTATTTAGTTTGGTCCAGATGCTCATCTCTGTTTTCTTTAGTGCCATTTCGACTTCCTCATGCAATGTGTCAGGGGCTGTGATGCTACAGCCATGTGCTCTGATGGCATAATCTTTGAGAGTCACCTCCACACAGTGGTGTTCTGGTAAATGTTTAACAACCAGCTCACATAGGGAAAGTTCCATGTGATGGTTCCAATATTAATAATGGAGAAACATATATATATGTGTGTGTGTGTGTGTGTGTGTGTGTGTAAAGATGGAATATAATAGCTGGGGTTGGCGGGATCAGGAAAGGGGGGGCTGCATATTAGAAAGGAAAGAATACTGGCTTTGGAGTCATAGGACATGTTTTCAAATTTCACTTCTAATGCTTAACAGCAGCATGACTTTAGGCATTTAATTAAGTCTTTTTGGACCTCATTTTCCTCATCTTTAAAAATGGAGTTGGGCTAGAGATCTTCTGAGTTTCATTTGAGCTCTTGATCTATGATCATAGGATCATGTGTAAAAGATGGAACTTGATCTGAATTTTGAAGGAGCCAGGGATTCCAAAAGAGAGGAGAGGGGTGCTGAAGGTAACATTCCAGGAATGGGGACAGCCAATGCAAAGGCACAGAGCTGGCAGATAGTAGAGCATCACACTTAAGGAACAGAAATCAGGTTAGTGCGGCTGAACCGTAGAGTGAATGGAAGAGACTAATGTAAGAAGATTGGAAAAGTAGGAAGGGGCCAGGTTGGAAAAAGCTTTAAGTGCCAATTGCATTGACATACAGGTATTAAAATATTTTAAAAATCAAGTTCACAGATCCCAGGTGAAGAACCACTGCCTGTTATATCCATTCACTGGTCACAATGATCTCATATCCAGAATACCAATGACTAAGTTAATATTTCTAAGTGGTCTAAAGCTTGAGTGATTCTAAGCATCTTCTAGCCCTTTCTCTGCCCATTCTGTCAGTGTCATCGAAAAAACAGAAAGGGGGCTGCAGGGATTGAGAGCTATGTTTGTGTTTTTTGTTATTTCATGGGATGCCATGGCCAAATAGTTAACCCCACATGGCTATTCTTCTGGTTATGAGTCCCTCTGCACTTAGCTAGGCTATTATTCCACAAAAAACTGACATAGTATATTTCTGAGACTATACTTAAAGTCTTTCTGCCATGGTAGAGTTTTCCAGAGCCTATGATTTGATAGCATAATCTTTGAGAGTCACCTCCACACAGTGGTGTATTGGTAAATGTTTAACAACCAGCTCACATGGGGAAAGGGGAGAGATACATACACACATACACACATATACATACATATAAATATATAGGTAAGTTTATTATAAATTTTAGTGATAACGAAGGATGTAGAGCACACAATGTGCAAATAATAACAAAGTATACTTTACTCTTTATCATGAATGCCATAGAGTCAATTGATTTTTCACCAAATGCTTTTATTGATTTTTGCTGAACTCCTGTATCTGTAGCCAACCAATGGTTGCAATTCACGTATGATTTGATAAATAAAGTTGCATCCCACTCCACTAACTCTTCCTAATAAATTTATTGTCATTTACATCATCTAGTGTTAAACTATTTCTTACCCTTGTACAAATTATATTAATTAAACTGAAACCCTCATTTAGCTTTAGCACTCCTGATTGAAATAGTGCTAAATATATTTTAGCTTTTTGTACAGTTGCAGGGATTGGAATTTTGTTTGATTCTGAATTTATTATCTATTTGAATCAATTTTGTGTTTTAAAATTTCACCTAAGTGATGCATTTTTTTCCACACCAACTAT